TGAGCCATCACAGTCAAAACCAGTTTGAAGTTTAAATGTTATGCTGCAATTTTTAGTTAATAAATAATTAAACTCAGTTAAAAAATACTGTTAAATTGAATGCAAAGTTTAATCAGACAGAGTTCCCAAGAACGGACAAGAAATGATGCTCGCCAAATACCAACGATCATCATCCATCCTTTATTACAGATAGAAGATATAAGATTCAAAAACTCTGTAAAACCCGGATGGGTGGAACTTGATCCAAACTGTATATTATTATTGGTTATAAATTAGATATTTTATCCCTATAAAATATTGAATACTAACCAATCATACTCCATCTAAAAAACGACCCACTTATTTGTAAGAGCTGAAACTACTTGTAGTTTCAGCACCAGAGCATTCTGAATGTAAATTACAGCTTAGTTGCCTTTTCCAAGAGACCAACTCGTAACAAACCAGTATACTCTAGATCTATTGAGACTAAGAGATATAAGAGTAAGATTAAGATCGGTATTAGACTAAGAAGTTGCCAAGAAGTCTATCCGGCCGAAAATAAGATAGCGTGACGAGCAGACGGTGTACCTTATCTGAAATTACTCTATGAGTTACACTATCAGTCCCAACTCAAAAAGCTTGAAAATGAACAGTTTAATCATCATTTTAATTACAAATTGTTCACTTAATTTATAAAACAAAATGCTACTAAAAGATCATTCGTTAAATGCAGCACACATTTAAAATGGCGTAAATGAGTTATTTTCATGAGTTATTTTAAGCTTGGCGTTAATATTTTTGTTCACAACTGCGCGCAAAATTTAAAATCTACGATTTTTCAATGATCTGTTACCTGATTAATTGTATTTCGTTTAATCATGCATGAAAATATGCACTGAAAACTGGAAACTGAAAAATTTTAACAAGAGTGACATGACTTTAATCTTTTTGGGGGAGTTTATTTCAAAAACCAACTAAACTGCAAAAAAATCTGTCATGAAAATGACATGATTGAATATAGATATCCTGTGATATCCTGTGATTCCGAACCTACTCAGCACAACAGTTCCTTTGAAGCAAAGCAAATGTACTATCGATTTCGTGGTCTGAATTTTACATCCGTAATGGATTCTAATCAATTATAATGGATTCGCGAGACAAAAATAATCGATTATAATCCATTACGGATGTAAAATTCAGACCACGAAATCGATAGTACATTTGCTTTGCTTCAAAGGAACTGTTGTGCTGAGTAGGTTGGGAAATTACAAATATATAAAAAAAATAATTACTCAATTTGATGTCACATTGCATCTAGGTTTGATGCCATTAAGTATTTGTCTTTGCTTTCTGAATCTTTTCATCGATGGATGACTTTCTCCAATTTCAAAATGTTGATTGGATAATCATCATTCTTGTACTCGGACCTCTTTTTGCCGCATAAATCTGTGCAAAAAACAGCATCTGTTCCCATTGCGCATCTGAAGTTGAAGTTTCTAGAGCCGTAACTGTTCATGAGTGGGATCTGCAGGGGTGTCACTAGAGCACCATCCACGACACTCTTCACATTCAACTCATACACTTGAGAATTGAAGGCATGACCTTCAGATTCTGATGCAAATAGATATCCTTCTCCACTCTCCGCATCTCCTCTCGCTATCCACACTAGTGAATTAATTGATGTCATTTTACCCAACCGGATTGATTTGAACTTGGCTTGAGATCCAGATTGGTTGAGATCAACTATTGCCAGTCTGGTTTTACCTGTTTGCAGTAATACATAGTCTCGTCCGCACAAAACTGTTGAATAGCAGGCTGAACTGCGCTCAATGAGAAGCTGAAGTGTATATGATGTATATACTTCATTTTCGTACACGTGCACACATTTGTATTGAAAACCTATCCGCTCTACCAGCATTAACACATTTTCATGAGCACGAATGATCCAATAAGATTTATTGTCTGCTTTTGAAGTATCCAGAGTCCTTACTACTGTTCCATTTTCCTTATCAACCACACTCAACTGATTCACTCCATCTTTGCGAGAAACGACATAAAGAGTGCCACTTCCACTCAAAGCTGGCACTAAAACTAAACAAGACTGCTCGTATCAGGGCGAAGCCCTGAATGTTCCGACTGCCTTCTAGGTTTATGCAGCAGTAATAACATTACAAAATTAAATGAAATGAAATTAAAGGAAAAAATTTTTTTTCTAAGTTTTGAAATTTTCTATGAAAATTATCCCCCCACACGCCATTTAAAGAACAAAAGAACAAGTTTCATTCCTTGTAACAAATCGATTATGGCAAATAAGCTTCTTTCAAACAATTTGGAACGATTTCTAAGACGGATTAACTCTCCGCTTACGCGTTAATAGCGGGAAATACATCGCGCGTTAATTGTCCCAAATTGGCCAAAATGGCAATTTTTAAACCCCCGTAACTTTACGAAAAATGATCACGGGTGAAATATCTTATGTTAAAAAGCGCAGTTGAAAAATAAAATCCTCGCCCTGATGCGAGCAGTATCATCATCACGAAGAGAAACAAACCACGGATCAGGTTTATGCATAAGTTGTTTCAATCTTTGATTCAAATTTCATTTTCTGGCAAATACCAATGCAAGGCCTAAATGCACTCAAAATATGTATCTGATTTGACACTATTTTTTGCTTTAAGGTTAGTGTGAATAGTCACAAATTGTCAATACAATGGTCTTAGAATGTGCTTAGTTTGTTTCAGTAAGTTTCTGTGTTTGTGGTTTTTAGCGCATCTCACAGGCAAACATTCTCGAACAAAATTTTAAAGGCAGTTTTCCTCAAAGTGTTTTCGAATCTTCTGTCGAGCTGTATTTTCTGTGAGCTAAACGTTATATCCCGAAAACACATTGGTTTTGCGTACACTTTTTACACTCATACACTTATACACTGTGTACATTTTGATTTTACCAATGGTTTTTATGATGAAATATTTGTTGCCATTAAAAGCTTACGAAGAAAACGTACAACAGTTTTTTTTCATCATCTTTTTTAAAAGTTTTTTGTTTTTTTTTTGCAAAAGGATATATGTTTCAAAAAAAACCCAAAGAAGTAATCCAACCAATTTGTTAAAAAAGAATAATAGAAAACAGAATTCCATATGAGTTCTTTATACTGAGAATTGATCAAGGCTACATCTTTTTTGGTTGTTGTACTGGCTAATTGAAAAATCAAGCCGAGCAAAATTAGATAATGCACTATTTAAAAAGGGTTAGACAACTAATTCTTAGATGATAGATAAAACCATTGAACATACCGACTGCTATTTATATTGATCGACCCCTACAGTATTTAGTGCAAGTATCCGTTTAACTCGATAGTACCCAATTTCATTTTTGTTCAAATTTCTCGTCATTCAAAGTCAACAAGAAAATTTCGAAAAACTAAAATTGAATTTACCTATACCACTTTGAACTGACAATTTTCGGTCCATTGTAATAGATTCTCCTTGAACTTTGAAAACCACCACTATGTCTGCGCTTTTACGCAAAGCAAATATTTCCTGAGTTTGCGAACAAAACTGAGAACGACCTATGTTTTCTAAGATACCAGTGTTTGCACTGCCTTTGCGAAAATCTCTAAGCTGCCAAGTTTTAGCCCCGATCGTCCTTGCTTTCCTGGTCAATGTTGTTGAGCTGGCCGTTAACTGAGAACTTCCCGTGTTTTTGCTTTGACTGAAAGTATCTATTGCTTTGTTCAAACTGTTTTCAACCGCAGTGCACGAGTTAGACAACTCTGCAATGCTTAATTTCATATGGTCAACCTTTTTTTTCTGTTCATTCAGTTCCTGTAAAGACTTCTTCTCGAATGCATGGAAATTTTGAACATTCTGTGCGTTTTGCATTTTGTGTTTCAGCTCCGTCAACTTTTCGAGTTTTTCAATAGTAGAGACAATTTCCTCGTTTAGATCAACAGAATTTGTCACCAATCGCTTGTAATCGTTTTGATACTGTTCAACCTGTTTCCAAGATTCGTTTAATGATGTAGTTAAGTCTTTCAGTACTGAGTTTATCGGAACAACGTGGTGCTCTAGGTGACTCTGGTTCCAACAATCTTTGCAAATAGCGGTCGAGCAGTTCTTGCAGTAGACTTTCTTCGCTTTTTTGTGAGCACTGCAAACGTGTTGTCCAGCTTGGTTGTCTAGTACAGCACTTGATGTGCTCTGTTGTGATGCCTGAAAACAGTAAAGTCTTTTATACATGCAATTTCCCTCAAAAAGTTAGTCTCAAAATAAAATAAAAAATTTAGGACGATTTTGGGGAAAAAATCATGGAACCATAAAACTGCAATAATTTGTCCTAATAAAATTGTTTCCTTATTTTAGATTTTATTAACCATTTTTTTGATATTTTGCATCAGGATAGTCTAGTTCTCTAAAAAATACTTTCGAATCATTTTGAAATATTAAATAGATGGCTTGGAAGTGTCAAATTTCCCTACTATTAACTAGTTTTAGAGAATTACCTCAATTGCGGTTTTCAAATCGTAATTGACCGATAAGTCGTTCTCGTTTCTAATCCTGGCAGCAATTGGTTCTCGACATTTTGAACACAGTCTAGAATCGCTACTTAGAACTCTACGCATGCAATCTTTCGGGGTTGAACAATACGAGTGACCACAATCTAAAGCTTTTGGGTTCTCAAGCGTCTCCAGACAAATACAGCATTCAAGTGGATCGCTCATTTTGTCTCCTGGCTATGTCTTGTTAGAAGGAAATTGAAGCTTTTAAATTGCAGAACTTGAAGCTTAGGAGCCGAATATTTTCGTAACGTAAGTTGAGAGAATGAAAAACTGTTAAATTATAAACCAATAAATAAAACATGCAGTTTTCAGATAAAATCAGCTGTTTAGTTTATCTCAAAATTAAAACGCAAGTGTGGTTAAGAACATCAAAAATTTACATGTTTCTATTGAGCTCAATAATTTTTTAAGAGACCACGTTTTTAAGGCATGTGAGACATGAAACCAAAACGAAAGTATTACTAAATTAATTTTAATCTGCAAAATACTGGTACTTTGTAAAGTTATTGAGCTGTTAAAACACTTTTTTGAGCTCACAATTTAAGCTCAAGAACACTTCGATAGAACAATTTAATTCACACTAAAGTCACGCTGAGGTATGATCGCTTTAACGAACGACTCTCCTGGTCTCGGCTTTCCCTTGTGAACGAATTCCGAGTTCCATTCGGGTGAAATGACGAACTCATTCGGCAACACTCGGTGGGCGAATTTCAGGTCGGCTTGAAGAGCCGAGCGAGAGGGTCGGTTTGGTTGAGATCGACGAACGTCCAACATCGATTTGCTTCTTTTGACAGCAGACAATTTTCTGTGACACAACACAGATAACGCATGTTACTCAAAAGCGCTATGATTGATTTCTCGAAAAAAAAAATAATAAAAAATAAAGAAAAAATAAGAAAAAAATTAAAAAATTTATATTGAAATGTTGAATTTGTATTAAATTTTTAAAGGTTAGTTTTTATAGGTCAACTTTTATAGGTCAAATTTTGAGGTCAGTTTTTAAAGATAATTTTTTATTTTTTTCCCATTTTTATGTTTAATTTTGGTTATGCGTTTCGCAAAATGAACAATTTATGAAACTGAGAGACCGAGAACCCACTACCTGTCCCCCTTGTTGAACCCAGTCCATTCATGACTGGGCAAGTCTCTCCTGCCCCAACTGTGACGTAACTTATCCTCCACTGTTTTCATCCTCCACTTGGCAGGGGTCAATGTCTTCTCCTTCAGACGCAAGTTGTCCCCAATCACTTTCTTCTCTGAAGATGAAAATATCTTTTAAGGTAAAAATTGTCTTTAGTCTTTAAAATAACTCCACAAAACAAGGAACAAACAGACCTTGCAACAACTTCTAGTACTAGAAAAAAGTCTTCTTTTCATTAAAGCTCAGCGTAAACTGGTAAGTAAACATGTTATAGCCCTCATTGTTACGACCACAGGCAGATATTGCTACGACCACTTTAAATGGGAGTGCATTTGTATTCGGCTGTTTTTTCCTTTCCTTGCAAAATCAGGTACCACAACCGCACACAAACACCAATTGGACTCGGGTGATATACAATAATGAAGCCAATTCAATCGTGATTCGAACAACAATTTTTTTTTCAAAAGTCGACAAAAGTTGTGAGGCATAAACAATTGATAACCAGAACACTTAGCCTATAAAATTGGCAAGGAAACATTGTTCTCAATAATGTAGACAAAATAAGAAAGAATTTTTCCGCTCTGATTCGCCTGAAAATTTTTTGTAGATCTAATGATCATCTTCCAGGTAGTACTTAATTTACTAAAAACACATTTTTCTGATTTTCTGTAATTTTTTCTGCCTGAAAATAAATTATTCGTGTTAGTAACACAGCCCTAATCTTATGAAATTTTACTTTATAAAATGTATTTGTTTTTTTCTTAAATTAGAAAACTTTTTGTACCTCAATTGAAACATAACCAGGGATAATTGATCAATGTACCACGAAAAACTTGATTTTTTATTTTTCAAATGGGTCATTTCGTGAGCGTGATTTGATTTGAATGTTTGAACGAAAGCTTTGAACGTTAGAAAAATGAGTACAGCAACTTTAATATGATATATCACTCAACCTAAGTCGATAGTAATGATTTACGTGGAAAAAAATTTAAAAAAAAATAAACTGAAATCCATCAAAAGACCATTTATTAACGAGGGAAAGGTGCAAATTACGAGCTGTTTTGCTCCTGCTTCAAATCTACATGCAATTTTTTCGGTTCTTTTTGCTGGGTAATGTTGCTTTACCCTCAAGTTTTCGATTGAGAGGTGGAGCCGTAACCACTTCATCACCGCTCCCCAACTTTCTTCCGCACTTTCAGTCGTCAGAAAAACAACAACAACCGTAAGCATATACAGTTATACAAAAAACTCAGTAGTTTTTTTAATAATCACCATTATTAAAAGCAGCAGTAAAAAATTAATTTTGTATTACCCAGTATTTTTCAATTTCAAACTAATTTTGTTTGCGAGTAATTTTACCACCATAAAAAGAATTTGCAATCCTTTATCAGAGCTCATAGTTTGAAGAAAATGATATTTGTAGCAAATTTCAACCGCCATTTGTACCATTGAGGTAATGAGAAAATCAGAAATTACGTCACAGCTTTAAGCAAAAGTATATCATAGATATATAATTTCAGGTTTAAAAGTATGACATGCAAGAGTTCTATTAATTACCGCAGTTGACTGCTGATTTTTGTAACCGTTAACGATTAAATGTTTTGGATCTACTTAACAATCCCCCCCCCTATTACAAAAGGGGGTGAATTGTTAAGTAGGTTCTGCTAGCAAATTAGTCGAACTTTCAGCCAATCAGAATGCAGCAAATTCTGAAACCGAGAAAGTTCTAATTGGCAACAGCTGTTACACTTAGCAAATAAGCAAGTAAAATGAACTTAGCAAATGAGCAAGTAAATTATATGGAGGAGATTCTGAAGTAGGTACCATAAGGGGGGGTGGGGAGAATTGTTAAGTAGATCCATTGTTTTTAAATCAAAAACCAATGTAACTATTATAGATCAACTAAACTGCGAAAATTGCGAATGCCTTCTAATTGGTCTCCAAAAACTTTTGTGTAAAAATTCCAATAAATTGAAAATTTTGGACTGTCAATAACAAATTTAAAACGCTAAATTTTGAGTTCACTGCAAAAATGAATGCCAAATTGCTTAGCTGGATTTGGATTCGAAAAATGTTGTCAGCAAGATAGTAATTCCTGTTTCGCTTTCAGCTTCATAGATTAGGTTTTCAAAGTTGAAAACGAGCAGTGTACGTAGGCTCAGAGCCATTTCATGATATTGCTTAACACAACAGTTTGGGAGAACGTAGATAAATCACGCGTTCCAATTCCAGTCCTCACTTTATATCTTTTGTTTTTGAAATTAGTCTGAATACAGCATAGTCTAAATAAGCATAAGTTCTTAGCATCAAAAATTTTCTAAATTCCTTTGTTGTGTGTCGGAATCACAAATGAACAGGGGAAAATAAATCACCAGAGCAAAGCAAGGTAGAAGGCAAAAAGGAAAGGACAGAAAATGTCTTGCCGAAAAAGTTTGTGATATGCGAGAAAAATTTTTATGAACAAAAGCTAGCCATACAATTCTATGTGTTGATAGAATTAGATAGTATTGTGAAATTTGTTTTTCAAAATGGAAACTGTATGGCCAAAAGTTTTATTTTGGTTAAGCTGAAAAAGTCTCATCTAAAAACTTTTCTTGTTCTTGAGACTTACGATTTTCAGTGACGCCCTTGAAATAAAGCCTGTCGTTCATCTTCTGAAACAAAACGTAAAAAGTTAACAATTTTTTGAATTTACTAAAAAAAAATAAAAATGGAAATATTGACAGTCTTACAAGATCAGGTAGATCGTAGTATTCGTATTCGTCGTCGCTCTCATACGTCTGTTGTTGAGCTGAAAAAAATTCTGGGTCATCATCGCAAAAATTTCTCAATAATCTGAATAGAAATTTGTATTTTTGGCGTTAAACTAAGCTTCAAAGCTTATTATGTTAGTTTCTCTCTCAGATTAAAAACTTTTCAAGACCAAAAGATCCTTTTGTACTGTAACTTATTAAAAATATTTAAAAATCATTCGGCAAGATAAAAAATACAGGATACAAATAATATCGCAATAGTTTTATACGGTGTGTTATGTATTTTCTAGCTTGTGTTTTTCTCAGATTTTGAAAACACGGGAAACATATTTTTTATAAAGACTCCTTGACTTACTCGAACTCTAAGGTAGAAAATTTAATAAAATAAAATCAGGTTGGATTTTAATGGCATTAAAGATCCTTGTTGTTCTATTTTTATATAATACAACAAAAACAAGTTAACAGCTATGGTAAGCTGTCAAATCGAACAAAAAGACTGAAACCGCCAGGATATAAAAATGTTATCTGAGAACCGTTTAAAAACAGAACAAAGGCAGTTAAAATGGTAGCCAAATTGGCAGTTATTTAAATTCACAGTTATATGACATGTGGCCTGTTCCTTCACAGAAGATGGAGTCTGACTTGCATGACATTTAACAGCCAAAAGTATAACTCTGTTATTAATAAAAGGTCACTCAGAATCTAAAAGAAAAGTTTGAACCACACAGGGGTGGATTTAGAGGGAAGGGGGGCGGACGCCTTTCCCCTTAGGGATTCGACTCCCTGCTGACCCAAAAGGTCCCCACTTTGGTACTTTTTAAGAAATCTATTTTTGGCTCACCGACCCTAAAATTTTTCATAGGGCGCCTTTGGCGCCAATATATATTAATTTTGAGGGGGAGCGCGCGCCGAAAAAACACGATTTGTTGGTCAAAATTTTCCAAGAAGTGCCTAAAAACGCCTTTTTGGTCTGCTTTTTCAAAGTTTTGCCTGCGGCGCAGAAAATTTGGCCAAAACAGGGACTAAACTTTGCTTAGGGAGAGCTCAAAAAATCAATTCGGTCGACCTTAAAAATAATGTCGTCAAATTTTTCGGAAATCCGAAAAATGAAACGCAAAATTTGTCAGCACATTTGTTGTGTCGCGGGTTCCGCTACAAGCAAATATAGCTGGTTGTTCTGGATTCCGCGACTGTAAGTGGATTCCGCAAAATGTTAGTGGAATCGCAAAATGTAAGTGGAATCCGCAAACTGTCAGTGGATTCCTAATTTTGTTTATTACTGATTTTACATATGGACAATTCAAAGCTAGAGCTGGAATTCTCATATTTAGCAATGCTGACTTTAAAATCAGGTGATTGACCATTGTCAGCGAAATCCTCGAACAAATTTTAAAGCATTGGTTAACTAAATCGGTGGATGTCATCTTTTAGTATTTGGGTTACATACCCCAGCAAACAGTTTTTGGTATCATAGTTTTGGAAACACAACACCGAATAATCTCAATGTTTGGAGCCATTGGGTTGAGAGTGTTCAGAAACACAACGCACAGAAGATCGCCGATTTATGACAGTATTTGGGATTCCATCGATCCTAAATACTGGTTAGTTTTTGGGGTTGATAGAATCGCAAATACTTGAATAAAATGGAATAAATATGGAATAAATTCGTTATTTGGATCATTGGGTTAGAATGTTTAGAAACAAAATGCACAGAATATTGCAGAGTTAGGTCAGTTTTTGGGATTACATCAATCTTCAATACTGAAGCTGGGTGTTTGACAGGAATTGAGATCGAACGTTAGGCATTTCAACAGGTAGCTAATCAACGTAGTAATTTAGCGATTGAGATTGAATTTGCTGGGGACCATCTAGTAACTACAAAAAAAAACTTTAAAAGCTACTACATATATTCATATTGTAAGCGGAAACCTCAAACGAAATGCGAATTCCACTTACAATTTGCGGATTCCGCAACAGCTCAATTTAACTCTTCACATGTCTTATTATTTGTTTGTGTATTCCACAAACTGTTCTGGATTCTGAAATTACGGTTGCGGATTCCGTAAATATGCCTATTTTGGGGCAATTTTTAGTGGCAGAATGCTTAAAGTATTTGTTTGTGGAATCGAAAACAGCAAAGAAGATCAAACAAAAGTAGCAATGTTGCGGATTCCGCAATAAATCTGATTATGGCATGCTGTGGAAACCTCTTACAATGCACTGAAAGCACATTTTGGCCTCGCAATGCCCACTTCAAAATTTCAAGACAAAAAAACCCATTTGTAATTACTAAGAGTTCAAATCTTAAAGTTTTTTTCTACATAGCGGCTGATCGAGTTTCGTTATACAGTATTTTTGTGGTTCTTATAGTAGTCGAAAACGGCAAAAAATGGAGAAAAGGTTTTGGAAAAAAAGTCATTTAATTGCAATGCAAATCATTTTGCTATACTTTTTTATTCCACATAAATACTCTTAAAAAAGGCCTTTGTTAGAACTTTGTATAAAAATTGTACAGAACGTCTCCTTAATAATAAATTTTTTCCGCAAAAAAAACAAAGAAAAATTAAATAATACTTTCAAAAAAATTCCGAATACATTTTGAATATGTTTCTATACCTCATATAAGGATTTACATCAAGTTTGAAAAATTAATTTGAAAAAAATTATTTTCAATTTATGATTATCACTTTTATGCATTCCGAACAAAAAACTCCAAGAAAACAACTTTTTCGCAACCTAATCACCAAATCTAGTTATCCATTTTTAGCTGTTCAAATTTATTGATTATGTAATCAGCAAAAATGTTTTTCTGTTATTATGTGGCTACTTTGTTGAACTCATGTGGCAAAAATTACCAATTTTGGCCGATGAGTTTCCGTTATTGTTTTCTGCGACAGTGGAGAACTTCTGCAATGGCTACTGTAGAAAACCGTTAGAAAAAAAATCAAAATATATTTTTAAAGTTTTTGTAGGAATAGTTACTACCTATCTTACAACTTTTTTTTTCAGAAAAATCGCTATCTTACAGCTTTCTTATTTTATAAATTTGTAAAATGTAAAATTCTTGAAAAAAAAGTTCTAAGATATCGACTGTTGTTCAAGCTGGGGTACATTGTAAACTGCTTATTATTCCAGGGAATCCATAGCAACATGCTAACTCCTCAAAATTAAGACGTCTAGACCGCTCAATTTATTATTTCACTAATCACAAAGATGTCCAGAAGATAAATTTGTTGATGACCCCTCCCATTTTGCCGTCTGAAATTGACAAAATTGAAATTTTATGACTAATATGTTAACCCAATTGATCATTTTGAAATCCTAACTCAAGTTGAAACAAGCAAATATTTTCACATAAATTTTATAATAATGAGTTCGTTTTATTTTTATATAATAACAAATTGACAAAATTGAACTTGTTTTAGTAATATGCTAACCCAATTGAATATTTTGAAATCCTAACTCAAGTTGTAACAAGCAAATATTTTCACGTAATTTTGTAATAATGATTTCATTTTAAATTTATATAATCATAAAAAGACAAAATTGAACGTTTATTACTAATATGCTAACCTAATTGAATAGTTTGAAATCCTAACTGAAACTGAAGATGATAAAAGCAATTGATTTCACATAAACGTTATATTAATGATTTCATATTACTTTTATATAAAGAGAAATTGACAAAATTGAACCTTCAGTACTAATATGCTAACCTAATTGAATAATTTGAAATCCTAACTGAAGTTAAAAAAAGGCAAATGGTTTCACATAAACGTTATAATAATGATATCATATTAACTTTATATAATGAGAAAATGAGAAAATTGAATTTTTAATAATAATGTGCTAACCAGATAGAATATTTTGAAATCCTAACTCAAGTTTAAACGAGCAAAGGATTTCACATAAACAATATAATAATGATTTCATATTAACTTTGTATAATAAAAAATTGACGAAATTAAATTTTTATTATTAATAAGTTAGCCAAATTGAATATTTTAAAATCCTAACTCAAGCTGAAACAAGCAAATCATTTCACATAAACGTTATAATAATGATTTTATACTGACTTTATATAAAAGGAAATTGACAAAATTGAACTTTTATTAAAAATAAGCTAAACGAATTGAACATTTTGAAATCCTAATTCAAGTTGAAAGGAGCAATTGATTTCACGTAAAGGTTATAATAATGATTTCATATTAGTTTTATATAATAAGAAAATGACAAAATTGAATTTTTATTACTATTATGCTAACCCACAGGAACATTTTGAAATCCTAACTTGATTTGAAACAAGCAAACGATTTCATATAAACGTTATAAAATAATTACAAGTCTATGTCAAAAACTTTCTGAATCAAAAATTTTACAGGATTTTAGAAATGCATACATTAAAAAATTGTATATAAGAACTCATTACTTGAAAATCAGTGAAAATCAGTGCAACCCAGAAAATGGAATTTTGGTCTCGGAAGGAGCATCAGTCAAAATCGAATAATTACCCAAATCGCAATCTTGCACCGGGTTTTACGCGTTAGATATTGTAGATAGATAGATTTGCCTGAAATACAAAAACTTAACGTCATCAAAATGAAAACCAAGGGTTTTGGTGGTTCAAACCTTTTTATCCTCGTGAAAATTCTGCAGCGAATGGCAATGTCGATTATTGAAAAAAGGCAGAGAAAAAAATTCTTAACTTTTTATGCGTTTCGGAATAATCAAAATTGTAATCAGGCTTTTATTGCCTCGATCAGACTTATAATGATTCAGGCGTAAATGATTTTGATAAAAAGTTTCAACTTCCTGTTAGAGTCACTCAATTTTTTGTTACAGACCATTTCTTGGTGATCTCGTAGTTTGCACATAGACATCCTGCAGTGTCTTGGATCGGTTCACATTCGCTGATTGACTCTAAAATATTTACTATAACTCAAATTTAAATGATTTTGTTCAATCTTCAGGTGTTCGAGAAATCTAAAAAGCTACTTAGAAACAATGCTTCCAGATTAAATAATGTTTTTTCAAATTGTGATTCGGCCAGTTTTTCTTTGAAGTTTTACAGAGAAAACGGCATAGTTTTAATAAACAATGTATATCTTTTCGCTTGCTTGAAAAAAAAAAACAGTAAACGTTTTTGATCAAATTAATTTGCAAAAAAAAACATGTTTTTGATAAAAAGCAATACAAAAAATTTTTCACTTGACTAAAAACGTTAAAAAAAAGTACACCATCCTAGAAAAAATTTACATTTTAATTAAATAAATAAAACAAAGCATTAAACTATATCACGATAAATCCAAGTCTGATGCTGATCTAGAATCGAGGGGGGGGGGTGTTGGAGGGGGCGGATTTTCACTTAAAAAATCGGAAATTCTGTCGACCTTTTTTAGGTCGAGCAATTTGATTTTCCGAGCGCTCCCAAAATACTAAAAAGACACAAATCTGGTCAATTTTGCCCGATTTTTCTGCGCCGCAAACAAAATTTTGAAAAAACAGGCCACAAAAAAGCCTTTTAAGGCACTTTTTGGAAATTTTTGACCAAATAATTGCGTTTTTTCGGCGCCCTCCCCACCTCAAAATTAGTACACATTAGCGCCAAAGACGCCTTTTGAAAAATTTTGGGGTGCGTCAGCCAAAAATGGATATTACAAAAGAGTTCAACGGAGGGATTCTTTGGGACGACAGAGGGTCAAATCCCTGAATTTTTTTGTGGAATTCAAGTAATTATATGCAGAATCTAGAGGGTTTTTCCGGAGCAATTTTAATGGCCTCAATCAGTTTTCTTTTAAAAGCTGTCGAAATTGCAAATTAATTATTAGGCAAAATACTTACCAATCTGTCCACTCTGTTCAATGAGTGGAGCACTATGCCATTGTACATTACAGTGTTCTGTATGTTCTTCTTCCCACAATAAGACATTCTGCTGCACAGTTTACAATCTGAAAAATGAAATATTAACTTAAAATTGAGATGACTCAAAATAAAAAACTAAAAATTTTAAACATTCAACAAATTTGTTTCATGGTGGCAAACTATTGAGAAAAATATTCCAGAAAAATTTCTTT